TTTTTTTTTTTTTTTTTTTTAAATTTTAAAACAATGAAGGAAATTTAATTGGTTTGAAAAATGGCTGAGCTGTAGCCTCTGCCTCTGTCTGTGCCTCCGTAAGCCAGCTGCCTCATTCCCCTTCCCTGGGGCTTTCCAGCCTCTACATTTCACATTTCCAGGGTGTCTTATCTGCGTTGTCTTATTTGCGTCCTGCTGTCTCCCCACGGGAGGTGAAGGGGAGTCTTGGTGTGCAGATGCTGTGGCTTGGGCTGAGCAATACCAGATCCCAGTGAGTGCAGCCATGGAGTGTCCTGGGAAGCTTTCAGTCCCTTCCCCAGCTCCCTCCCCAAGCCACCCTGGTGGGTAGGAAGCAGGCTGAAGGCAGGAGTGAAACGGTCTTGCACGCTTTTATTGGGATGGAGCTTGAAGGAACAAACTGGGTGCCCAAAGGCCAATGCTGCAGTGCAGGAGCTGGTCATGTGCATCACCGAGAGCTGAGCTGAAGGGGCTGGGGTGGGTGCCCCCAGCCGGGGATCAACAAGTTTGTTTGTTCCCAGCTGCCTCATGCTCCCATACAGATGCCTTCCCTTGCCTGCCCCTGCCTCGGCTCCTGCCCATGCTGGGCTGCTGCTCCTCTGCACCTTCTCGGGGGTGCTTGGGGTGGCCAGTGCTTCGTGGGGGATCCGACAGTCTGGAAGGGTCCTGCCGGGTGACAGCCTCACCCTGCTGAGCCCATCTGCCTGTGGGGCAGTTGTTCCCGCTCCCTCTCATAGTCCCCATGAACTAGTCTTGTGGCAAGCTGCAGGCAACATTTGAGGGCCAAGGGAGGGGGCTTGCAGTGCCCTTGCTGGGCTGCTTGCAGCTTGGCTGAGCCTCTCCTCCCACAGCCCAAACTTTCCAGCAAACCTTTCCCTGCCCACCCCAGCTGTGAGGAAGATGCTGGAGGAAGGCAGCGTGGGTGTCCTCCCTGTCGGTGAGGAGCTGGGCTCGGGGGGACCTCTGTGCTCAGCACTGGGTTTGCTCTGTCCCTGCCTGCCACGGACCTTCCTGTCCTTGCAGCCTCCTGTGTGCTCAGCCCAGCGGGCGAGTGTTCCGGGAGGAGCTCTTAAAGCTGTGGATAAGGTGGGTCAAACCCAGGAGAGGTGATCCAAGCCCGCGGCATCTCGGCGGGGAGCGTGCTGCCCCAGGGTGCCATCCCCTCCGGGCTGGAGCGGGAAGCGGCCGCGGGCTGTGCCCCTTGGTGGGGCAGTGCCTGTAGGCAGAGCGGGCTCAGGAGGACTCTGCCAGGGAGAGAGCCCGCAGCTGCCCCTCGGGACCCCCCAGCTCGGCCTCATCCCGGCTGCTGTCTAGGGTCTCTGATCCCTCGAAGCAGCCTGAGTCCCGGGGAATGTCCCCCTTGGGCTCCGAGGGCGAAGGCTGGGCTTCAGGGCTGTCGCCTTCCTCCGGCTCACTCGCTGCTGGGAGAGATGGGATGTGGTGTTAGCAGGCAGCGAGGCTGCTGCTGGGGCTGCCCTGGTGTGGGGGTGCCTCCCACTCACTCCCCCCAGCTCTTACTGTCGTAATCCAGGAGGAGCTCGGCGGCTGTGAGCAGCTTGGCGCGGTGCTGGGGGTCCGTGATGTTCAGCTCGTTGAGGTGGGTCTCCCGCAGCTCCTTGAAGTCCTCCAGGGTCTGGTAGCCGTTCAGCAGCAGGGTGGAGGTGTGCTCCTGGGGCCGGAGGGCAGCAGCCAAGGGGTGAGCGGGGTGCAGCACGGCTCCCCCCGGCTCTCCCCACCTCACCCTCAGTGCTAGCCACGTGGCTCCTGCCTTGGTGCAGGTCCGTGGCAGGCACTCACCCCAATATCATCCAGAAAAGCCCCATGCGGCCCCTTTGTCCCCCCCAGCAGTGCTCGGGTGTGAGGTGGAGGGACCCACAGGGGTGGGGGATAGCGAAGGGCTTCCAGGGAGCAGTGGGAAGGGTAGTCCTGCTGCTGGCATGCTGGACTCTGGCTGGGTGCTGCTGTCCCTGCCCTGGTCCCCATCCCTTACCTGCATATTGATGCGCTCCAGCAGCTCGTGGAGGGTCTTGGGCTTGAGCCGTTTGCTCTTGCTGGATCCCCGGCTCTTGCGGGTGGGAGCTGTCTCCTCGGGGATGACATCCACGTAGATGAACTTGAAGGAGCCCACCCTGTTGTTGAGCAGCCCGGTCCAGGTGCCCATGGGTGGCTTCTCGATGATGCCGATGATGTCCCCTTTCTGGGCCAAGGGAGATGGGGGTGGAGGCAGGCACAGGCTTGGGGACAGCTGGGGAACAGGGAGGTCCCCAGCCACCCCCCTCCTCCCCCAGGGCCCACACCGCTGGCTGTCATGTGGCTCACCCGCAGCTTCAGCGAGTCCTTGTCGTAAGGGCTGGGGGTGAAGTCAGTGTGGACGCGGGCCCGGCCACAGAAGGGGCCAGTGTAGGCTGGGCCGCTCTCCTCCAGCCGCAGACTGTCCTGGTTGCTCCCTCCGGGGCCAGGGCTGGAAATTTCGCTGCCTGTGGAGGGGAGGGAGGTCAGGATGTGCCTGGCCATGGGGCAAGGGGCCGGTGTCCTGCCGGGGCCAGGCTCACCACTGGACAGCTGGCGGCTGATGGGTGCGTGCCTGTCTTCCTCCATCTCCAGGTAAGACAAGGGCAACTTTTCGTGTCTTGGCTCTTCCATGCTGCTGGCTGGGGATGGGGGGCATGAGGATCCCTCCTCCTCCTCCACATCTGCCTGCTGGGGGGACCAGGGTCAGGCCAAGGGAGGGGGAGCTACCCCTGCCTGTCCAGGCTCCCCCCTCACCTTCCCCTCAGCTAGTGCTTTCACGGCCATCCTGCCCATCTTGCGGTTCATGGTGCGGGAGATGGCGGCCCGCCACCTCTTGCTCAGCTTCATCCCGCTGCTCCGTGCAGCATCGTCAGGGCCAGCGCTGCTGGACTCATCCTCGGGGATCTGGCAGAGGGATGTGGAGTGAAGGCAAGAGCCCCCCCCCCCCCCC